GGGTGGAGGAAATGCCTGGTTGGTGTTCATAACAGCTTTTTTAAAGTGTCCCTCACAAGAAACAAAAAAGGCTTTTGAATTCAAATAAGATTTCTATAACAATTATAAAATCTGTCAGTCCCCCCCTTTTCATACACCCACTTACTCAGTTGAAAGAACAGTGGGTGATGAAGTGCAAAATGTACGTCTAAAATGTTCCAAAATAGCATCTGTATCAGTATTGATGTATTTTCAACTAGTTCCAAAAAAGCTTCATATAATAGTCCTGCCTTCTCTTCTTTTTTTTTGCACAAAACTTGGAAGGGCTGTATTAACTCACTCTTAAAAAGCAAATACTCTCTCTCCCTCCGCAATGGCGCTAAAAGAAAAACACACAGTTAATACACAGCTTAACAAATAGAGAAGTAAGATGTTTTTTCTGTTCAAGTCGCGATCACCCAGGAACAGAATACATAACAAAGGAGACAGCAATGTGATTAAAGTTGGAAACAGAGGGGGGAGAAAGAGAGAGTAATATGTGACTGCTTAATTGTAGCTTTGCAGGGAGCTGGTGACTAATGGCCTTTCCATGGAGCTGTTCGAGCCATGAGCCGCGCATTAATATAAAGGGGGTTATTATTATGTTTTAGCTTCAGACCTGATTAATCACATAGATTTACTTCCAGCTCAACACGTTATATAGGGAGTCATGCTGCTGTTAGGCAGCCATCAAGCTCATGATGCAGCCGCTTACACCTTGTTAAGAATGCAAATACTGGACAGTTGTTCTTTATGGTTAAAGGTGGTTAGAATAATATATTTATATATATAATTATGACAGATAAACAAAATAAAGGTCCTTGTTGTATTTGATGTATTAGCTCATTTTAATTAAAGCACGATGAGTGAAGCTGAATGATGACAGTGACAGTTATAAACTGGCATGAAAGGCACACAGCGTGTTTATTGTGGAGGCTCTCTTGGCTTCCACGCAGCCAAAGAGCACCGAAGGCCTTTGTTGGACCGAAGGCTTGCAGGGATTTCTTCAGTCTGATGCTTTGTTGCCCCATAATCCCTCTGGCTTATATGTGATCCCTGCCTTCCCTCAGACAGCGGGCTAATGGAGAAAGTGGAGCGGGAGCTCTCCTCACGGCACGCGCCTCTCTCCAAGCAGATAGAGGAGAATGCTCGATGTGTGTGTGTGTGTGTGTGTGTGTGTGTGTGTGTGTGTGTGTGTGTGTGTGTGTGTGTGTGTGTGTGTGTGTGTGTGTGTGTGTGTGTGTGTGTGTGTGTAAACTGTTGATTACTGCTGCTGCAGATGTTAAAGTGGACACAAACTGAGAGGCAGAGTCAAGCACACACACACACATACACACATACACACAGGCACACACGTTCAAACCTGGTTAACTGTGGGGTCGGATGATGGTGGGGGGTGGGGGGGGTTGGTGGCTGAAAAGACCCTGATCTTGCTGAGGCACTCCGATCGATTTCAGGCTCCTACAACAAGATCCCCTACTCTTATAGCTCAGAGCTCCAGATGATGCAGTGTTGGGAGTGGGATGAGTCAGGGCAGCTGGGGGTCGGAGTTGTTCCTTTGCTTCAGTGACACCCTGCCAGTAGTTATAATAATGTCAGATGCACAGAGACCGGACCGACCTGAGGACACACACTTTTATTATTCTGTGGATCTGTGTGTGGTATAAGCTGTGTGTGCAGTCACATAGTTGTTCTCTGTGGTTGTGTGCAGCATGTGTGTGTTCAAATGCCATTCAGCACAACTGGATGCAGATGTTAGTCTTAAGGGATTTGAGGAGCGAAAAAAAAGGTGTGGAACTAGATTTTTAACCCTTAAGATTGATCTTCACATGGTTTGCTGAAATTGGAGTGCCTGTGTGTACGGGTGTGTGTGGGTGTGTGTGGGTGTGTTTTTTTTGTGTGATCCTGATAATCCTGTGGGCTTTGATGCTCCAAATCCATTGTCATGCTATACTTTTATAGAGGGAAATTTCCATGACTTCAGACCACCACTTAGACTGCATTTCACACAATCACACACACGTGGCTGCTATCCATTCAACATTCCTGCCTGAATACCCTGGCATCACTTTTCACCGGACAAGCCTTTGATGTTATTACTTTTTTTATTTGCCATTTTATGCTCATATCAGTGGGCTCATTATATCTGAATCCCAGCAGTTGTAAGTCAAAATGAAATATCTTTATATAAAAATACTTCATTTCTTTCTTTTTCTCAGGAAAAAAAACAGACAAACCTGGTGCAGCAAATCCTGTTTATTGTTAACAACTACTGACATTGAGAGTAACTTTTTAAGTTTCCCTTAAAAAACAAGGTGGCAGCTGATTTGTTGGTGTAAAATAAGAACAATCAAAACCAGAAAAAAGTCAAGTTAAAATCATAACAACAAAGGGGGGAGTCTGTGAAAAATATTTTCCTCCTTGCTTCAGATAGTTCAGCGTTTCTCATCACATTTGCATGAACATATGCGTTCTGTCTTCGAAATGAATTTCTGTGAATGTGTCGGGAAGTTAATTAGCTCTGTGTTTTTCTATGTCATTGAGTGTGCACGTGCATTTGTAATTGCATGTGCGCACAAAGTGCGGCTTTGCATGTTTCAGCCCCCCCACCAGTAAGAGAAGACAATGTCACAATCATATTTTTCACAGCTTGTGGTAAATGCGACTTGCTAAGTCATTCTTGTTGTTTTGTTTTGAAGATGACAGCGCTTCTCTGCTCTTCTCCTTCTTTGTGGAACCGTTGGAACCAGCAAATTCTCTCCATCGCTTCACCTTCCCCTCTCCAACTTTCCCCCTCCCCTCCTCCTCCTCACCCTCTTCCTTCTCTGTGGGATGGTCATTTAATCCATCTAACCAGCTGGAAAGATAAATATTCCTTGGTGGAGTGTGAGGCCCCTGCTTCTCCACTAACGCAGACCGGAGATGAGGAGAAAGTCTCCTTCTCTGCAGACGCTCAAATGCCTTCATAAAGTCCTCTACTGAAACAGATGTCAGCATGAAGATGGCTTTTTCGATCTACTTTTTTGAAGAAAAAATATAATATTTTACGTTTTATCACACTTTTTACAACAGCTATCTAGCATTAAGTCTTTTTTTAGGATAAAAGTTTTTGCTTTTCGGTTCAAAAGACCGGGGATTAAATTGGAAGATGAGGACAACGTTGTGCTTATCTTCTTCAGACAAAATGCCTTTAATCAGAGAAGTTCTATGTGTTCTTCCATTATAGTGTACCTATAGCGTGTACATTTTCCAGGCTGCATTTGGCCAATGATCCCTGAAGGAGGAACGTGGATGGGTTCCTAAGGCTGACTCATGGTTTCTGTTTGGAGAGGTCCAATTCAGAGCAGGTCGGCCCGCCTGAAACCTGTGTTTACACAGCCTCTCAGCCCAGACTGGGAGGCCCTATTTTCACACCCAGGTGCTTTCCAAAGAAAACCTCCTGCAGAGGCCCCTTGCCTAAGGTACGACACACAGAAAACCAAACTCGCTGCCTCAAAGTTCCTGCTGTTGTGTTACACGCTTCAGCTGCACACTTATTATAATAACACAGAATCACAGGACTTAATGGAAAAAACAGTGTGTTTATACAGGACCTAAAAGATATATTACTACGCACACAAATAGGGTAGGTTTACTAGCAAATATTCTCTATCTCTTATCTTGGCTTGTTTTACTGTGTGGTGATTTGTCTGCTCTGTGTGTGTCTCTTGGTTGAGGGAGTTGGAGAAATTTGTATTCTGCAGGATGCTAACCCTTCAGACAGCTTCACTTCTCGGATGAGTCAGCATGACCCCTCTTCCCTGTTTCAGGAGTGTCAGACCTTAGACTTCAAAAGACAGAAAGATGTTCAGTACAGGGTCAACGTCAAACGACGTTTGCTGTAGAGGTGCAGAGGATTGAGCCTTCACCAACTGGCGCAGGAATACGAAAGCAGGCAAACAGTTTGCCATCTTTTATGTCGCACGCACCTGCCTGTTTGTGAGGCTAGAAGGGGGTTTGGGTTTTCAAGGACATTCAGATAAAACAACACGTTGTTTCTTGTGAAAAAAAGAGCATGAAAAAAATCCCAATTAGTTTGAGACCCACAACTCTGTCAAGATTTTTTTTAGTTTCATGCTGATGAATATGAAATTGTGAGAAACTAAAACACGAAAAACAAAGCTCTGAACTTTTTGTGATGGAGTAACAGATAGCAATAAAGAAAAAACATATATATTGAATACTTGGACTGATAACTTTACTGAAAGTCTTTCAGTCCAAACTGTTTTAAGAGCTCTCTTCTTCTTCTATTTTCATCAAGATGACAACCACAGTTGAAGCTACATTTTTCGTGTGCATTAAAGATGCCATGATTTCAGCAGAATTGGAAAGATGTGCATTTTGAGAACATGAGCTTTCAAAGATAAGACGTGCTGAAAAAAAAAAACATCATTTACAGATTTTACTTTATGCCACAGAGGCTGGAAAAAAAGAGAACATTGTCGTAAAAAAGGCACAAGTTAACTGAGCTTTAGTGTTCAGTTTTCTTTTGAGCAAGTGGAAACTAATGAAGATAAAATATATATTTAGTATCATAATATAAAAGTTTTATATTATTGTATAAACTGAATGAAATTAAGGTTTAATCTGACACTAAAACTTAGCTACAGGAGCTGATTCCTAAATCTACAGAACTTTTTTTTCTTAACCCGTTTGGATTTAGATGAGAGTTAATGATTGTTAGAAAGAGTTTAAGATTATCAATATATAGAAAATAAAATAATCTAAATATCTTAAACATTTAGTATAGCAATCACAATTTAAAGCTTTTGTAAAACAAAATCAATTCTCATAATTACCAGTCTGGCCAACAAGAAAAAAAATGTTGCTTCAGAATTGAGTTCAATAAATTCTCCTTTTTTAATCAATTCAGAGTGATTTTTTAAAATGTACTTGAAATGTGTCATTTTGTTTGCAAAAATCATGTCGTACATTTAAACTTAATAATTTCTTAATCATTTCGTCCTGGAACCGGAAGGACGCCGGTTCGATGTCCAGCCGACTCAGTCGTTGTGTCCTTGGCCAAGACACCTTGCCTACTGATGGTGGTCAGAGGGTCCGGTGGCGCCTGTGTATGACAGTCCCACCACTGTCAGTGTGCCCCAGGGCAGCTGTGGCTACAATTGTAGTTTGCCATCATCAGTGTGTGAATGTGTGTGTGCATGGGTGAATGTCTGTAGTGTGAAGCGCTTTGAGTGTCCCTGATGGATAGAAAACGCTATATAAGTACAGTCCATTTACCATTTACCATTCTGGACTTCTCTATGTTGTGACTCAATTTGATAAATGTCAGTGAGTCTTTATTATTAAAGGAAGCTGTCATTTACAATGTGAATGCATTTTTTAAAAGGGACAGAGTCTGTTTGAGTGATGGGCTTGCCTGGCCAATCAGCTTGCCTGTTTACATTCACTTGCAACCTTATAAAGGCACAGTTATAAGAACTGTGGATGGACATAGTGGCTGCAACACAAAAAACTGGAACTGGATTAAATGATTGAAAACTGTGAGAAAGACAATACTCAGACTGCCCTAATCCTGACATCGGGATTATTTTCTTTACAGTTTCAAAAATCCAATGTGTGTTCAGATCAAATAAATACTTACCATACCGGATAGTAATAATGCTGTTTATAAATGCAACTAAAGAAACACTTCAAACCCTAAGATTCTCTGTGTAAATCCTGCATCACACACACTGGCTTCACACAAATACATGCTACCCGTCACACGTACAAAGAAATAAACTTAGTTAGAAGCACATTTATTAATATATGTCAATGTGCCGCCTGAATCCTTCCCACCTAAGGTCTATTTCAAAGTAAGAGAAAAAGCTATGCATATATGTATATCATGATTACATTCCATGCATCTTCCAAAATCTCATTTCCATCATTGGTAATTCTGCTCCACAGGAGTAATGAGTGTATTATGCAGTTATGACAGGCCTAGTTCTCTTCTCATCCACTCCCCATCATGCAGCATACACTCCTTTAGCCC